GTTCTGCACTAAGAGAAACTAAGCAGGAAGGAGCTGGACAGATAGAAGACTAGATGGGAGAAAAATTTCCAACTGTGTGTGTGTGTGTGTATCTGCTTTACTAGCTATATATTTTACCTATTCAAATATGAAATTTTAAAAAGTACTTTTAAAGTGTCAGAGATACAGTTGAAGAACTCAAATGTTGGCCGGGCACAGTGGCTCACGCCTGTAATCCCAGCACTTGGGAGGCCAAGGCAGGCAGATCACCTGAGGTCGGGAGTTTGTGACTAGCCTGACCGACATGGAGAAACCCTGTCTCTACTAAAAAAAAAAAAATACAAAATTAGCCGGGCGTGGTGGTGCATGACTGTAATCCCAGCTACTTGGGAGGCTGAGGCAGGAGAATCGCTTGAACCCAGGGGGCGGAGGTTGCGGTGAGCCAAGATCGCACATTGCATTCCAGCCTGGGCAACAAGAGCGAAATTCCATCTTTAAAAAATAAATAAATAAATAAATAAATAAATACTCAAATGTTAGCTGCAATTATGTTACTATTATTAGCAAAATCAAAATACCTTCTTTCTGAAGACTTTTTCTTACTCCCTCTGGACAGAAACCTCCTCTCCCTCCTCTAGTTATCAAGTTATTGTTTAAGGAATTTATTACTTTCTACTCCAGTGCAAGTAGAGTAAGGGGTTGGTCAATGTTTCATTCATTTTTAATATCCAAGAAGCCTTGCTTGCACATAGTAGGTACAAACATTTTGGAGTAACAGTAACCTTACAAGTACTCCCAAAAAAAAGATGACCATTTATAAAAAGATTGTACTCTGTCATTAATCCTAAGACCTGAAAATTGAAGAAGTTTAATAACTGCTAGCAACTAGTAGTTGCTAATATTCTTCCAACTACTGCCTATCCAAAATCGCCCCTTTCACTTTTTCCTTTTTTCTCAGACTGTCCCTGACATTGACATCACGTTCCAAGCCAAGACTCTACATGTACTAACTCTCCGTAACTCACTGCAAACTCTGAAATGTCTTCTCTCATAAGTCCCAACATCTGATGTATCGCTCCTGTCAAAGGGGCATTTGTTGTCTCCTCTTAGATGTTCACATATCAGTGAGTGAATAAAGTGCCCTTAACTGGAGAAGACCTAACACTTGATTCCTAGTTCGCTCAGTATTTCGTTCGTTCTCCTGGTACGGCGGGTATTCTGTAACGGACTGCTCAGTAGCCCAATTCTAAATGTCATCCCAGCATACCAAATACTCCACTGACAGCTCAACAGTCACTTTTCATGCAGGCCCCTCCCCTTCCCTCCTCCCTCAACCCTCAAGAGCTCCTTCTCTCATACTGACAGACACACAGGCAGTTCAGAAGACCTTTTCCTCAAGCGTCCTTCCCTGCACGTACAAGACCACCTCCCCAGCTCTCATCATCCCGCGAGCCAATACAGTCCCCAATAACAACCCCTCGCAGCCAATCCAAATCACAACCTAAGTCTCTTCCCAAGAACCAGGCTTTATAGCCTTTCCCAACAAGTATACACTTGACAGCTCGACACGAGCTTCCCCAAAAATCCTTTCCCCCTCACTCCCCTTCTAACCCATACACTGGCTCTTTTCTCGCTATCATTTACCCACCCTGGCTTCCCCATAATTCACAGCCCGGTTTCCTAAACATGCTCTACGCTCTCCTCTCCCTGCTTTCTGCTCCCCACCCCCTTTCCACCGCTGACAGCTCAGTCACCTCCATCCCCCTGTGGCTGCACCCTCCCCCGCACCCTCCCCTTGACAGCTCAAGAGTGGGCTCCCGGTGCCCCGCTCCAGGCCCTCCCGCGACGTCCCCAGCCCCGGGTCGCCTCGCCCGCGGGGACGGCTCCACTCACCCGCTCTCCCGCATCACGTTGCTGTCCCCACAGTCGCAGGCGCCCCCGGCCTGGCTACGGAACATGTTGAAGTCGTGTCCAGTGTGGTCGCCCTGGTGGAAGCACTCGGCGCACAGCGACATGCAGGGCGAGATGCCGCACGTCCGGCAGCGGTAGGCCACGAAGTTGGCTGTCCAGACCAGGCCGCAGAGCGCCGCGGGATCGTAGGCCCGCACCGCCGCGCAGAACTCGTCGTAGCCGCCGCCGCCCGCCAGAAGGCACTTACACCACTCCAAGGCCTCCTCCTCGGCGGCCCCCGGACCGCCCCCGCCTCCGGCCGCCGCCGCGTCCTCGCCGCCGGCAGCCGCGGCCAGCGGCCGCTCGGCGCTCAGCACCCGCTCCAGCAGCGCCTGCAGCTCCTCAGCACCTGCGCGGTTGTCCGGCCGGCTGAGGGCCGCCTTGAGGTGCGCGGCGGTGGCCGCCTTGTCTAGGGCCAGCCCCGACGCGGGCAGCTCGGGCTGTGACGGCTGCTGGCCCCCGACGGCCGCCGCGGCCGCCGCCGCCATGATGAGAGCTCAGAATTTGGAGAGTCCAGGACCAGCGGCTCCTCCAGGGAGAGTGAGGGAATAAACTGCTGCGATTGCTCGGCCCGCCCAACTCTCGCGATACCCGGAGCGTCCGCGCTCCTCCGCCCGCGGCCCCGCCCCTGCACACGCCCCCTCGGGCTGCAGAGCCTTCTCCCCGCCCTCCCGCCTGGGTGCCTCTGGACCAAGCTAGGCTCCCAACTTTCTAAGTTAAGAGCTACTGAAATAAAGGACTCACCTTATAGGAAGTCTTTAATAAGGGCAATTATTTCTTTATTTGCATAGACTACAGGAATTATTCACATCATCTTTCAGATGTACTTTAGGCATCTGCATTTTGTTTAAGATGTACATTCCTATTGTTATCAAAGTCCAGCTGGCGACAGAGTGAGACCCCAACTTAAGGAAAACAAAAACTGTAGGAAGAGCAATCCAAAGAAAAACAGAAGGCCGGGCGCAGTGGCTCACACCTGTAATCCCAGCACTTTGGGAGGCCGAGGCAGGCGGATTACTTGAGGTCAGGAGTTTGAGATGAGCCTAGCTGACATGGTGAAACCCTGTCTCTACTGAAAATACAAAAATTAGCCGGGCGTGGTGGCGCACGCCTGTAATACCAGCTACTCGGGAGGCTGAGGTAGGAGAATCGCTTGAACCCAGGAGGCAGAGGTTGTAGTGAGCCAAGATCACGTCACTGCACTCCAGCCTGGGAGACAAAGCGAGACTCCGTCTCCAAAAACAACAACATCAAAGAAGAACAGGGGTGTTTGCAATCCATAACCGTGTGTTTGAAATGAATGAAACATAATTAAGACACGTTATTTTACAGTCCTGGTCTTCTACATTAGTTAAGTATGTCACGATCATCATATAACAGTGATAAGTTAAATTTGCTCAATAATTTTATGAATCACTAAATTATAAACTAAATAAAACTTTATGTATTAACTTTACATGCTAAAACTTTGTATGCTTTAACTCGTTTGATTCTCATAACAGAAAACTTTGAATTCTACCATTCCTAGGAAGTAGCAGCCTCAGACACTTCTCTACTTCGTCATCGTCCATTCACTCTTTTTCTTCTTCCTTTAATAACGCAAAGAGGTGTCCATCCACAGGCTTAAATACAGTCCTGCAATCCTTTTACTTAACCACTGGATCCTGCCTTCTCAGGATCCCAACTCTATCCAATATCCTCTTGTATTTTTAACACCTCTCTTTCTATTAGCTCAATTCTTGTCAGAATTTGTCTCCTTCTGTCTTAAAAATAGTTGAAAAAACAATAAAGCTTCCCCCATTACTAAGCATCAACCATTCTCTTCTTTTCGTAGGCCACCTTTCTCTTTCTCTCTTTTTTTTTTTTTTTTTTTTTTTTTGAGACGGGGTCTCACTGTCGACCAGGCTGGAGTGCAGTGGTGCAATTTCAGATCACTGGAAGCTTTGCATCCCGGGTTCAAGCGCTTTTCCCACCCCAGCCACCGGAGCAGCTGGGACCACAGGCTCGCGCCATCACACCCAGCTAATTTTTGTGTTTTTAGTAGATACAGGGTCTCCTTACGTTGCCCAGGCTGGTCTCAAACTCCGGTCTCAAGCGATCCGCCCATCTCAGCCTCCCAAAATGCTGGGATTACAGGAGTGAGCCACCGCGTCCGGGGCCACGTTTAATTGTTCATATTTACTCTTTCTTCTTTCTAAACTTCATTCGCTCTACAATCTGCTACAACTTGGTTTCTGCTCCTGCTTTATGAAGCCCGACCTCTTTCCAGTATTTGACACCGCTACCTATTCTTTCATTTCCACTCTTTTTTTTTTTTTTTTTTTTTTTTTTTCTGAGACGGAGTCTTGCTCTGTCGCCCAGGCTGGAGTGCACGGCACGATCTCGGCTCACTGCAAGCTCCGCCTCCCGGGTTCACGCCATTCTCCTGCCTCAACCTCCCGAGTAGCTGGGACTACAGGAGCCCGCCACCACGCCCGGCTAATTTTTTTGTATTTTTAGTAGAGACAGGGTTTCACCGTGTTAGCCAGGATGGTCTCGATCTCCTGACCTCGTGATTCGCCTGCCTCGGCCTCCCAAAGTGCTGGGATTACAGGCGTGAGCCACCGCGACCGGCCCATCCGCTATCTCTTCTTTGGGTTTCTTTGACATCACCACTTCTGTGAGAATTGCAAGTGACACAAATGACCTAAAAATTGGGAAACAAAGTTACAATAAAGTAAGGCATGAGAATGGCGAAGGAGGTAAAGATGAATGGAGATCGCTACTTTTTGAGCCGAGACTTGGGAAACAAGAAGAGTCACTCTGGGCCATACAACAAAGTGACTGTGACTTTCTCTTCCGCATCCCTTTCACTCTGTCTTTCCCCCATCCTTTGAGGGCCCGCAGGTACTCATGGCAAACTAGAGGGTAACGAGCAGGCGACAGGCGGCGAGGACTGGCCGTGGGTCAGCGAGTAGCGCAGGCTTTGCAGGTGGAGGGGATGGGGTAATGAGGCCCCCAGGTGGCCAGCGGAACCCCGGCTCAGGACAAAAGTTGCAGCTCGGCGCCGGGCCGCTGGGCGGCGAACGCGTGCGCGCGTGCAGGCTGGCGCTTCCGGCCCCGGCCGAGGTGCGGGTCGCCCCAAGAGGTGTGTTGTCGTGGCGCGAGGGATCCTGGGGCTGCTCCAGCCACGCGCCGCTGCCGTCTCCTGGGATGGTGTGGGTTACCTGGGAGGTGGGTCAGAGGCTCGTCCCGTGCCCTGCGTCCCGGCGTCTCCTTAAGGCGCGTCTTCGGGTCCGGCCAGCGGTGCTGAAAAGGGGGAGAAGGTTGGGGGTAGGGAGGAAACAAAATCCCAGTTCAATAGATTTCTCCGCAGATCCTGTGCCTTCAAACCCTACGAGTCCATACTTTAAAACAAAATGAAGAAATTAAGGCTTAAGGAACTAGAGAGTCGCCTGCAACAAGTGGATGGATTCGAAAAGCCCAAGCTACTTCTAGAACAGTATCCTACCAGGCCGCACATTGCAGGTAGGGCGGCTGGTTCACCACGCCCCTGCTTTCGGCGTTAGTCCAGTCTACTCTGTGATAAAAATAGAACAGTTATTTGGATACAGATAATGTCTAGAGAAATTTTGCCCAAAGATCACCTAGTTAGGTCTTCCTTGACACTGCAGCTCACAGCACGCCCTCCACACACAGATTCACTATCGTTTTACTGTCTGGTTTTCTGCATATCCCATAACACTGCCAAACAGTATTTTTAATGTGCTTTTTTCTCTTCTCACATTATAATCTCTTTGAGGACAAGGAATTTGTTAGTCTCGTTCATACTTGAATTCCCAGTGCCTAGAAGAGTCGCTGGTACTATTTAGGAGCTCAGTAAACATTTACTAAATAAGGATCAATTTCCTATTGCTACTAATTGCCTAGGCAAGGATTCTTGTGCTATACTCTGCCCTAGAAATGAATACCAGAGTTGATAGTGGAAGGATAGTTTAACAAAATCAGAGTATGTGCTGTATAAAGATGAGCATGCATATTAATTTTAACAGATTTTCTGAGTATTAGCATTGTTGCTTCATGCCAGACACTGATACTAGGAGTACAAGAGAGAATACAGGAAAACATATATTTATGTTACCAAAGTCATTGGGAAGCCTTAGGGGAAAAAAAATTATTATTATTATTTATTGAGATGGGGGTCTCACTCTGTCACCCAGGCTAAAGTGCAGTGGCATGATCACGGCAACTGCAGCCTTGACCTCCAGGACTCAAGTAATCCTCCTACCTAAGCCTCCTGAGTAGCTGGGACTACAGGCATACACCATCACGCTGGCCAGTATTTTTTATTTTTTGTAGAGACAGGGTCTTGCTATGTTGCCCAAGATGGTCTCAAACTCCTGGGCTGAAGTGATCCTCCCACCTTAGCCTCAAGAAGTGCTAAGATTACAGGCATGAGCCACTGAGCCTGGCCCCTTAGGAAAATTAATTTTCTGAGAGTACCTGCAAGGAGGAGTTTTTTCCAGTTCCAAAATAGTTGTTTCTAAGCTGCCAGTAAAAATCAAGGAGGGCACGTGTGTATTTACACTTAACTCCAAGATACTGTCATAATTCCAACCAAAAATTCACACAAAACTACTGTGTCTAGGTTAAGACCAGTTTTCTCAAATAATGACTTACTAGTCTTCTGACTGTAGGTTTTTTTAGTGGAATCCAATTTAAAATATAATAACAATCTGGCCAGTATGGTGCCTCACCACTATAATCCCAGCACTTTGGGAAACCAAGGCAAGAGGATGACTTGAGGCCAGGAGTTCAAGATCAGCCTGGGCAACACAGCGAGACCCCGGCTCTTAAAAATAAATAAATAAATTAGCCGGGTGTAGTAGTATGCGCCTATAGTCCCAGCCGCTGTTACTAAGGCAGGAGAATTGCTTGAGCCCTGGAGTTTCAGGCTGCAGTGAGCTCTGATCCCACCACTGCACCCCAGCCTGGGTTATAGAGATAGACCCCATCTCTGAAAAAAACAACAAAAAAAAACCTCTGGATCCTCGGGTATCAATGGCCAGCAGTCCTTGCTGGGTTCAGATATCTTCAGGGAAATATCAGTGGTGGTGGTATTCATGTTTAACCTTCAGTATATCTAACACCCAGTAGTTCTATTATCAGGTCTCATTTGTAGATTATGAATATATATATGTCTGTAGACCATGAGTTTATGTGTCTAAAGGCTACATTGCAGAGCTTATGGTGCTTGTGTTCTGGTGACAAACTTGCTACAACAAAGTTCTGTGGTTGGGTGCAGTGGCTCATGTCTGTAATCCCAACACTTTGGGAGGCTGGGGTGGGAAAAATCGCTTAAGCCCTGGAGTTCGAGACCAGCGTGGCAATATAGTGAGAACCTGTCTGTGTTTAAAAAAAAAAAGAAAAGAAAAGAAAAAAAGGTTTTGTGTCTTTGTGATGCTAATGCTTGTTTGATAGTGGTTTCTAGTCTTACAGATTTCACGGATAAGTAAAATTTCAAAACAATTTAGGAAACTGATACAGAGTTGCTAAATTTATGTTGACAAGAAAGGATTTTTTTAAAACCTATTTACTCTTAATGTTCTTTCAAAAAATATTTCAGCATCAAAGAAAGAACCAATATGAGTGTATGGCAATGTTCTTAACAGGCTGAGGAAAAACTAAACATTTTGACATTTTCTTCCATTTTACATCAGAGACTGGTCACAGTTTTGTCATTCTTGGCATTGCTAGCAGAGACTCTTTTTTGAGAACCACTGGTGGGTATTAGCCTCCTTTATGGTGCCTCTTACTACATACCAAATTATTACACCTTATCTTTTAAAAAAATAATCTGGAATGGCATTTAGGGGAAGACTGAGTAATGCACAAATAAGATTTTAGTCATCACCTTGCTTATTCTCTAATTTTTTTTTTATTTTTTAGCTTGTATGCTCTATACAATCCATAACACGTATGATGACATTGAAAATAAAGTCGTTGCAGATCTAGGATGTGGTTGTGGAGTACTTAGCATTGGAACTGCAATGTTAGGAGCAGGGTATGTAATGCAATATATGCTATTTGGGTATTGGGTGGCTTTAATAAGGAGCATCAATGGGATTAACTGAATTATATTTATGAGACTCCACAGAATGAGATATAGGGAGCAAAAATCTGATACTGAATACATTTTGAACCGGCAGAAGATCTAAACAAACTACAAAATATAAATAAAAATGGTAAAAGCAGCAGTTCCTTTTATACAAACCTGAGTTTCCAACCCCTGCCAGGTTTGGAAATTATGCTATTGAAAAGCAACACTTGACCAGGCACAGTGGCTCACGCCTGTAATCCCAACACTTTGGGAGGCCAGAGTGGGCAGATTACTTGAGCCCAGGAGTTTGAGACCAGCCTGGGCAACATGGTGGAACCCCATGTCTACAAAAATACAAAAATTAGCTGGATGTGGTCCCAGCTACTTCGGAGGCTGAGGTGGGAGGATTGCTTGAGCCTGGGAGGTCGAGGCTGCAGTGCAAGATGGCATCACTACACTCACCTGGGTAGCACAGCAAGATCCTGTCTGAAAAAAGAAAAAAAAAAAAAAAGAAGAAAACACTCTTACTTTGCTAATTGGGTTAGAAAGATACATGGTTAAAAAGCAAAAAGCTAATTTTGGTTTTGTTTTTCCTTGGGAGCTATAAATCGCCACTCTTTGTGTGTGTTTTGTATTTATAGGTTGTGTGTTGGATTTGACATAGATGAAGATGCATTGGAAATATTTAATAGGAATGTGGAAGAGTTTGAGTTAACAAATATTGACATGGTTCAATGTGATGTGTGCTTATTATCTGACAGAATGTCCAAGTCATTCGATACAGTGATTATGAATCCTCCCTTTGGGACCAAAAATAATAAAGGTTTGTAACAAGAATCGGGTATATTGGTATATTTATAGAAAAGATTTTAAAGCTATTTTTAAGGCCAGGCGCAGTGGCTCAGGCGTGTAATACCAGTGCTTTGGGAGGCTGATACAGGAGGATCTTTTGGGGCCAGGAGTTGGTAGCCATCCTGGGCAACATAGTTAGACCCTGCCTCTACACACACACACACACAAATTTAATTTGCCAAGTGCGGTGGTGTGCCTATGGTCCTAGCTACTCAGAAGGCTGAGGTGGGAGGATCACCTGAGCTCAAGTATTGAAGGCTGCCATGAGCTATGAATGTACCACTTCACTTCAGCCTTGGTAACAGCAAGACCCTGTCTAGAAAAAATAAAACAAAAATAAAAACCCTTTTTATCACTGACTGTTTGAGCTAAGTGATTTTATCACTCTTCATTAAATAAACCAAGGCTAAGTGATTTTATTACTCTTCATTAAGTAAACCAATCTCTTACCTGTGTAATTCATATAATTTAAATTTCAATTTGTTTAATGCATGGCTAAGAAATTGAGTTTTTCAACTTTTGTTTTTACAGATTTGTATTAAGTAAACAAAGACAGTCATGTCATTTATTATATATCTCCCATTTGCTTTCAGGAATAATTTGCCTAACCCTTATGATTGAATATGAAACATATAAAGAATTTTATACTTTTAGAACCTGTTTTTTAATGTCTTAACACACCCAAGGGTTTCTACATGTGCCCATCAGTAACAGTGACTCACTGTGGCTGTTAATTTTGTGGGTACTGTGGGCAAGGAGGTTAGGAAGTCAGTGAGGGTAGGAAAAAACATGCATAGTTTAAAAAGTACCCTGCCCCCACCAAGAGGATTCTGAATACTACTCTACACATTTTCTTCTCCCCTTTTTGAAAGTCATTAATGTTGGAATATAATACTAAATTTTTTACTTTATCCTTATTTAACCAAGGCAGTGAAATTCTGGTTTTATTCTACCAACCTTAAAATAATATTTTGATAGTTTATTTGTACCCTTATTGCTGAAAGATTTCAAGGTGGCTATTTTGAAGTTTGGAAGAAAATGTTTCTAAATCCTACTAACTTAATCTTCTATTTTGATAAGAGGTAAATAGGAGGTTTTTTTCTTCTCTTCACAGGGACAGATATGGCTTTTCTAAAGACTGCTTTGGAAATGGCAAGAACAGCAGTATATTCCTTACACAAATCCTCAACTAGAGAAGTAAGTTCAAATCATCTGATACTCTGTGGCATTTATTTTTAAATTCATGACAGTGTTTTTAGGATTTGCTGTGAATACTAGATACCACAATATCTATTTCTACTGACCTTTTTGACATATGAAACTTAGGAACTAAATTTTCTAATTAACCAGCTAGCATCTGATTGGCCTTTTTCCGGGCTATAAGACTTCTTTCCTCAAAGATTTTTTCAGACAGGAACTGTTGCCAGAAGAGAGATTATAACTCAGGAGTAGAAAAGTGTGTTATAACTAGGATTATGGTATGTTTTGGTTTCTCTGAGTAAGTCTTAGTTGATCCCTTTTGTCCCATTGTCCCCGTGTGGCCCGATGTACTTAAGGGAGGCAATAAGGCCAGGTTTTCAGAACACTGAGCCTGGAGCTAAACAGATCTGAGTTCAGAAATCAGCTATTCTATTATTACTTTTGCAGCATGTAACACACGGAGAGGTGTATAAGTTGTATTCCAGGAAACTGGGGGGAAAGGCAGTACATTTTTTTAGTGTCAGTATAACACGGTGGTTAGGAATGGAGATTCTGAAGCCAGACCAGACTTTCTGGGTTCAGATCCAAGCTCTGCTGCCTCCCAGCATTATCTTGGTCAAGGTAATTGAGCTTCATCATCAAGGTAATTGAGCTTTTGTCATCTGTACTATCCTCACCTGTACTCTTAAGTGTAAGGGACTAAGAGTACCCAATAATTCATAAGAATTGTGAGGATTACATGAGTTAATATTTACAAAGCACTTAGATCAGTGTCTGATATGTGTAATTGCTATGTGCTAGCTACTATTATTTAAATCATACATGTATTCAAAGATTTTAAAGTGATTTTGTAGGAAAAATAGTTAATTCATGTAAATACAGTGTATAAGAACTCAGTTGGAAATAATACATTCTAGTTACATGGTAATCTGATAACCTTTTAAAAAGCATAAAATATAACAGCTAAAAAGAACTATACTGCTAACAGTAAGTAGTGGTACATGTAGGCAAGCAACAGGACACAACATAGCTAGTAAATAAATCCTCACTATATATGAAAGCAAACACCAGTTAAACATTGGTATCCAAACGTGTGTCCCCAAGAACACCCTCAGGTTTGATGATTCACTAGGAAATCTCATAGGACTCTGCATATAGTCTTATTCATGGCTATGATGTATTACAGTGAAAAGATATAGAGCAAAATCAGCAAAGAGAAAGGTGCATTAGGCAGAGAATGGGGGAAACCAGGGGCAAGCTTCCCAAGTCTTCTGCCAGTGGAATAACACAGGACACACTTAATTTTCCCAGCATGAATTATTGATAACACACGTGAAACATTACCAACCAGGGAAGCTCATTAGAGACTCAGTGCCCAGGGCTTTTATTACAGACTGATCATGTAGGCAATTCCCTTTCTGACACATACCCAAATTCTAGACTCCCAGTAGGAAAACAGGTGTTCAGCATAAACAGTGTTAGGCACAGTGAGACACTATTATTAAGGGAGTAGGGAGTGGGAACCTTCCCAAAATCTAAGTTCCCAATCTCCAGCCAAGGGCCAAACTTGTAAGCAGGCCTTTCTAAGGATAAGCAGCCAGGCCTGCTGTGAACTCTTTTCTGCACAGCTTGGCATAACATGAATTTTTTTTTTAATTATACTTTAAGTTCTAGGGAACATGTGCAGAACATGCAGGTTACATAGGGATACATGTGCCATGTTGGTTTGCTGCACCCATCAACTCGTCATTTACATTAGTTATTTCTCCTAATGCTATCCCTCCCCCAGCCCCCCACCCCCTAACAGGTCCCGGTGTGTGATGTTCCCCTCCCTGTGTCCATGTGTTCTCATTGTTCAACTCCCACTTATGAGTAAGAACATGTGGTGTTTGGTTTTCTGTCCTTATGATAGTTTGCTGAGAATGATGGTTTCCAGCTTCATCCATGTGCCTGGAAAGGACATGAACTCATCCTTTTTTATGGCTGCATAGTATTCCATGGTGTATATGTGCCACACTTTCTTTATCCAGTCTATTATTGATGGACATTTGGGTTGGTTCCAAGTCTTTGTTATTGTGAATAGTGCCGCAGTAAACATACGTGTGCATGTGTCTTTATGGTAGCATGATTTATAACCCTTTGGGTGTATACCCAGTAATGGGATTGCTGGGTCAAATGATATTTCTAGTTCTAGATCCTTGAGGAATCGCCACACTGTCTTCCACAATGGTTGAACTAATTTACACTCCCACCAACACTGTAAAAGTGTTCCTATTTCTCCACATCCTCTCCAACATCTGTTGTTTCCTGACTTTTTAATGATCGCCATTCTAACTGGTGTGAGATGGTATCTCATTGTGGTTTTGATTTGCATTTCTCTGACGGTGAGTGATGATGAACATTTTTTCATGTGTCTGTTGGCTGCATAAATGTCTTGAGAAATGTCTGTTCATATCCTTTTCCCACTTTTTGATGGGGTTGTTTGATTTTTTTTCTTGTAAATTTAAGTTCTTTGTAGATTCTGGATTTTAGCCCTTTGTCAGATGGGTAGATTGTAAAAATTTTCTCTCATTCTGTTGGTTGCCTGTTCACTCTGATGGTAGTTTCTTTTGCTGTGCAGAAGCTCTGTAGTTTAATTAGATCCCATTTGTCAATTTTGGCTTTTGTTGCCGTTGCTTTTGGTGTTTTAGTCATGAAGTCCTTGCCCATGCTTATGTCCTGAATGGTATCGCCTACGTTTTCTTCTAGAGCTTTTATGGTTTTGGGTCTTACATTTAAGTCTTTAATCCATCTTGAGTTAATGTTTGTATAAGGTGTAAGGAATGGATCCAATTTCAGCTTTCTACATATGGCTAGCCAGTTTTCCCAGCACCACTTATTAAATAGGGAATCCTTTTCCCTTTGCTTGTTTTTGTCAGGTTTGTCAAAGATCAGATGGTTGTAGATGTGTGGTGTTATTTCTGAGGCCTGTGTTCTGTTCCATTGGTTTATATGTTTTGGTACCAGTACCATGCTATTTTGGTTACTGTAGCCTTGTATCATTTGAAGTCAGGTAGCATGGTGCGTGCCTCCAGCTTTGTTCTTTTTGCTTAGGATTGTCTTGGCTATGTGGGCTCTATTTGGTTCCATATGAAATGTAAAGTAGTTTTTTCCAATTCTGTGAAGAAAGTCAGTGGTAGCTTGATGGGGATAGCATTAAATCTATAAATTACCTTGGGCAGTATGGCCATTTTCACGATACGGTGCTCTACACTTTCAGAGAAACTTCTCTAGTGACGAACTATAGAAATGATCCCTGAAAGTATAGTCTTGGCATAACATGGATTTTATAAAACTCAGTTTTACTGCATGAACTGAATTGCCCATGTACACTGATCTCTGCCAAATGGTTTCTAGGATACCTAGCTGTATATATTAATGAAATAATGCTACAGAAACCATATGAGAACATTACACATCTTTGATAGATTTCTGAAATAGTCATGCATCCTTTAACAACAGGGACATGTTCTGACAAATGTATTCTGAGAAATGCATCCTGAGGTGATTTCACCATTGTGCAGACATAGAGTGGACCACCGAGGCTCTGTGGTTAGTCTATTGTTCCTAGGCTACAAACCTGTCAACCTGTTACTGTATTGAATACTACAGGTAACTGTAACACAATGGCATTTTTTTAAATCTAAACATATATAAATACCAAGAAGGTAATGTGTTGTGCTATGATGTCAAGATAGCTACATCACTAGGCAATAGCAATTTTTCAGCTCCATTTATAATTTTATGGGACTACCGAAATATATGCAGTCCCTAGATAACCCCAAATGGCATTATATGGTGCATGAGTAGCTTTCTATCACTTGGATTTATTGTATGATTTGGTTCAGATTATTAAATATATTGAAATTGATTTCTTATTTTCAGACTACTATCCATTCAATTGAAATTTTTATAAGGGTCTAGATTCTAATGAAATTTTAAGCTTAAAAACTCAATCTCAATTATTAGTAAAAAGCAATTTTAAAAAATCATTAAAAATCAGCTCATAACAACATATTGTTTATGTTCAGCATGTTCAAAAGAAAGCTGCAGAATGGAAAATCAAGATAGACATTATAGCAGGTAAGACAAATCTCAATCCTAATATCCAAAAGGGCCAACATGCATTCGCCCAACCAAAACTTTCATGCAGGTGCTGGGAAGATCTACTATAAAGTATGCTTTGCAGTGTGGCAAAATGTGCATGATTGGTAATAGATTGGAAATGGAGTAAAAGCAGAGTGATCACTTAGCTTAAGACTGTCCTAATTTATGCAATTTACTGAAAATTTCTAATAGCACTCAGGTATTTGATCACTCCAGACTCAGGTGGAACACTGTATAGCAGCACAATGGCTAAAAACATGGGCTTGGGGCCAGGCATGGTGGCTCACGCCTATAATCCCAGCACTTTGGGAGGCCGAGGTGGGCAGATCACCTGAGGTTTAGAGTTCAAGATGAGCCTGGCCAACATGCTGAAACCCTATCTCTACTAAAACTACAAAAAATTAGCCGGGCATGGTGGTGCACATCTGTAATCTCAGCTACTTGGAGACTGAGGCGGGAGAATCTCTTGAGTCCCAGAGGCAGAGGTTGCAGTGAGCCGAGATTGTGCCACTGTTCTTCAGCTGGATGACAGAGGAGACTCAGTCTCAAAAAACAAAAACAAAACAAAAAACGTGGGCTTGGATTTGGTCAGATCTTGGTTTGAAATTCATTCATGGAAAATGCTATCAGATTATTTCCGGATAATCTTTCTTTTTTTTTTTTTTTGGGAGACAGAGCCTTGCTCTGTTACCTAGGTTGGAGTGCAGTGGCAACCTCCACCTTCTGGGTTCAAGCAATGCTCTTGCCTCAGTCTCCCGAATAGCTGGAACTACAGGCGTGCACTACCATGTCTGGCTAATTTTTTTATCTTTAGTAGAGACAGGGTTTCACCACATTGGCCAGGCTGGTCTTGAACTCCTGACCTCAGATGATCCTCCAGCCTCTGCCTCCCAAAGTGCTGGGATTACAGGTGTGAGCCACCGAGCCTGGCCTCTAATTCCATTCTCTAATTGCCCCTGGAATCAAATAACATTTATCTTTTTCTTCTAAATATCAACACTATGAGTAAATCATGTTTAATACATTTTTATTACTAAATTGGGTAATAGTCACAAACATCAAAACAGGAAAAGCATATAACTAGAACCTAATTATAATCTAAGCCCAAAATAAGGGTGCAATAAGGGAACATGTTTTTTCACAATAGACAATGAATTGCCACTGTAGTGTTAAACATACAGCTGGATATATTACTGTTCATAATAATGTAACATATACATCTGTTCATCTTCCTGTTATTTTCAGTGTTGCATTACTTAAGACAGTTTTAGGGGTGTTTTTTTTGTTTTTGTTTTTTGAGATGGAGTCTCCCTCTGTTGCCCAGGCTGGAGTGCAGCAGCACGATCTTGGCTCACTTGGCAACCTCCACCCCCTGGGTTCAAGGGATTCTTCTCCTGGCTCAGCCTTCACTAGTGGCTGGGACTACAGGCGCACCACCACACCCAGCTTTTTTTTAATTATTTTTGGTAGAAATGAGGTTTCACCATGTTGGCCAGGCTGCTCTCGAACTCTTCACCTCAGCTCATCTGCCCGCCTTGGCCTCCCAAAGTGCTGGGATTAGAGGCGTGAACCACCACACCCAGCCAGTTTTAGGTATTATATGCAGTATGGAACACCTTAGAACAGTCCCAGTAGTATACCGAGCCAGAGCCTTGCTCCTCCAAATGTGGTCCTCAGACCATCAGCATTAAAATCCCTGGGATTTTCTTGTTAGAAATAAAGAATTTCAGGCCAGGCGTGGTGGCTCACGCCTGTAATCCCAGCACTTTGGGAGGCTGAGGCGGGCAGATCACAAGGTCAGGAGATCAAGACCATCCTGGCTAACACAGTGAAACCCTGTCTCTATTTAAAAAATACAAAAAAATTAGCCAGGCATGGTGGCGAGCACCTGTAGTCCCAGCTACTCTGGAGGCTGAGGCAGGAGAATGGCATGAACCTGGGAGGTGGAGCTTGCAGTGAGCCCAGACTGCGCCACTGCACTCCAGCCTGGGCAACAGAGCGAGACTCCATCTCAAAAAAAAAAAAAAAAATTTCAGGCTCCACCCAGACCTACTGAATTAGAATCTGCATTTCAACAAGATCCCCAGGTGATTTGATTGCACATTAAAACTTGAAAGCTGTGACATACAGGAGTAGACTACTGCCATCCCTCTAAAATAGATCAGTAGTAAAGAGTTTGGAGAATCTACATTATTCTTTAGAATGAAGAAATATGAAAAACTGGTTTTCGTTTTAGAGCTTAGGAGGAAAATGGGTACTTACTACAATTATTAAACTCTGGGTAAGAAAATTTTGAAATAAGCATGGTTATTATGAGATTAAGTTAGCTACAGACTATTAGGAAATTAAAAATAGAAAGGTGCCATCCTTTTCATAAGATTTACTTTTTGGTCCACTTTTTATCCTTCTAAACTCTTCACTTGTAACCTCAAATTTCAGTATAAATGGCCATAATAACAGAAATGCCAAGCTGCCATGGCCAATGCTGGGAATATAGCAAGTCACTACTTGGATAAGTTAAAGGTTCTAAAATGTTCAGTTTACCAGCACTCAATACTTTTCTTAGTTTTTGTTGTTGTTGTTGTTGTTTAGTCAAGGGTGGTAAATGCTTGAAAATACAATTTTATCCTTAGGTGGCTTTTGTTTTACAGAGCTTCGATATGACCTGCCAGCATCATACAAGTTTCATAAAAAGAAATCAGTAAGTCTCTTAATTTTGGCTGGTCTACATTTGGTATTGAAAAGTTTTCTGGGCCGGACGTGGTGGCTCATGCCTGTAATCCCAGCTACTCGGGAGGCTGAGGCAAGAGAATCGCTTGAACTCAGGAGGCGGAGGTTGCAGTGAGCTGAGATTGCCCCACTACACTCCAGCCTGTGCGACAGAGTGAGAGTCAGTCTCAAAAAAGAAAAACAAAAGAAAAGCTTTATGACAAGTAATTATTTCTAGTGTTATCAACTTTCCTGTGTAAATATAGAAAGACAGCCTAGGAGACACCATAAATGGCCTGTGGGAATGGCCCATAGTCAACAGCTAATATTCTAGTTCTTTATTAAATGCTCTGGGTACAAAAAGAAAAAAAAAACTTTTTTGCTCTTTTCATATAGTATATATTTTATTAGTTTGTACTAATACATTCTCATATTACAAAGGCAATTTAATGGAAGAATCTTCCTTTTGATATTTGAATCATCTGAAATAACACAAACAGAACTATACATTCAAAGAAATCTCATTTGCATAACAAAAAGACAAGTTAAACAACAACAAAAAAATTTTTCCTTTCTCACAGGTGGACATTGAAGTGGACCTAATTCGGTTTTCCTTTTAAAAGCCCCCGCAAACAAAAGTAGTTTAAAACCTATTTAAAATGAATAAAAAATTGGTTTACTAAACTACTGGTCTCCAGCACCATTTTCTGTTTTCTGTTGTTTGGATGCAGGTTCTTCTTTGTCTGTTTCTTCTCTTGCTCTTTTCACAGGTCCTATAACGTAACAATTAATTTTTGTTAAATTCAACATAAGTGCTGCTCTATTTTAATACTGAGTACAATTACTAATAATGATACTGTTGAAAAAGATGTAACAACTTCCTTGCACCAATGAGAAAAGGCTTTTCTCTTAGTACAGACCTGACCTCTAGATTCATCTTCCAAATATCCTGTCCCTAACTTATACAACAGCATAACCAAGGTAAATCATAATAATCCAAGAATGGCGCTTATCCAGAAGTTGAAAAGCCAAATCCCTATTCTCTGGCAAATCATTTATTTATGGAAGTACAAATTTTCTCATGAAACTACCAAAGGACTTAGGAAAAAACTTACCAGTTGCACCATTTTCATCATGTTCATCATCACTAGCAAATTTCGTTTTCTTGCCCTGAAACTGTACTTTTCCTTTACCAGACCCAGGCTGGGCAGCTTTATTACCCTTTCCTTTTCCTTTAAATCTACGACCTGTAGAGACACAATTGAGCACTCTGTAAAGAATTTTTTTTAAAGTCTCTTGTCAATGTTTTTGAACACTGATTAAAGTTTTTGCTCAAGTAAATGGGTTCAACAACCAAACTGTTAAAGAAAAATCAGAATAAATGACCTTTTGACTTCCATTTGTTTAGGGATTCTTGTTGGTCTTCTATTATTTTTTTCAATGCTTCTTTTTCCACCTCTCCTTCTAGTACTTCCCAAGTCACTTCTTTGTTCCTTAATTGTAGGTTACCATTATTTGCATCTTTGGCTTTACCCAAAGCTTCCTTGGCTTTTTCTTTAAATAGAATTATCCCCTATACCAGAGACAGAAAAAAAAGCCATACCCTTAGTTTTTTAGTCCCACAATTAATTTCTTTGTTCAAAGTAATTTTTTCTACCCTGCAAACCTTCCAGGCCTTTACCAGTTTGAATGAATTTTACTGAACCGTAGAAAAGGAATGCTACAGAAGTAAAACTGCAATAATCAATATGAACAGTTATTCATAGTATAATTCAGAAACTATCAGACATCACATATAGTGACAATAACAACAAAGTAAATTATCAAGTAGAAACTAATTTAGTATAATTCAGAAAATATCAGACATCACATCCAGTGACAATAACAACAAATGATCAAGTAGAAACTAATTTAATAAACACAGTTTTAAAAACTGCTTTCTACTAATTTTGTCTAAGTTTCTACAGATTTTCAAACTGACTGCTAAAAAGCATAGGAATGTTTCCAAACCTCTTTTGCTCCTCTGACGAAGTCTATCCATTTTATTTCACCATGATTTGAGAAAAGTATGTGTAAATCTTCTCTACAGGTCTGATCATCTAAATCACCTGAAAATTTCAGCAAGCATCCAATCTTTTCTTCTAGAGATTTCTATAAAAATATACAAAGCGATCAAAAAGTTTCTTAAAAGCAACAGACCATAAATGACTCACACCACATTATAGCTATACAAGAAAGAGCCTAGAAACCAAAATGCTATTTTAAAGTAGTTTCTCTTGCCTAGGCAGCAAGAGCGAACCTCCATCTCAAAAAAAATAATAATAATAAATAAATAAAGTAGTTTCATAGTGTTGGTGTTTTCCTTTGTCATCCTTTATCCCAAAATGGCTTTCAATATTATTTGATCTCTTATACAACTGGCATTTAGTTATAAACTACATAAAATCTGGTTATTAAACTATCTTGGAAAATAATTCTAGGCAATATTTATCATACTTTAAAAAATTTTTAGGCCAGGCACAGTGGCTCATGCCTGTAATCCTAGCACTTTGGGAGGCCGAGGTAGGCGGATCACAAGGTCAGGAGATGGAAACCATCCTGGCTAACACGGTGAAACCCCGTCTCTACTAAAAATATATATACAAAAAATTAGCTGGGCATAGTGGCGGGTGCCTGTAGTCACAGCTACTCAGGAGACTGAGGCAGGAGAATGGGGTGAACCCAGGAGACGGAGCTTGCAGTGAGCCCAGATCGCGCCACTACACTCCAGCCTGGGCGAGAAAGTGAGACTGTCTCAAAAAAAGAAAAAAAATTTTTTTTAAAGAGTCATTATTATTTTCCCCAAATAAAAAATGTTACCTGTAACTTTCTAAATGGAAATACACATCAGTAGCTTATTAAGTCAAAAATAAAAGTATTAATCTATGATTAGAATCTTTAGAAGTTATAGGACATTTTCTCATAAAAATAAGTTCTAGGCATAAATGAACTTTTTCTGAATATTTCAAAATATATTCTCCTGTGTTTTATTATATTCTTTATTTTTAGACAGGGTCTCACTGTCACCCAGGCTGGAGTGCAGTGGCATGATCTTGGTTCACTGCAACCTCCGCCTCCTGGGTTCAAGTGATTCTCCTGCCTCAGCCTCCCCAGTAGCTGGCATTACAGGCATACACCACCAAGCCTGGCTAATTTTTGTATTTTTAGTAGAGGCAGGATTTCACCATATTGGCCAGGCTGGTCTCGAACTCCCAACCTCAGGTGACCCACCCACCTTGGCCTCCTAAAGTGCTGGGAATACAGGCATGGGCCACTGCACCCGGCCTTTTCGTATTTTAGAACATATTTCCTATCCTTAGTGTTCTCTTTTCCCTCAATATAATACCTGATTTATTACTTTAGTGCAATGACAACTATAGATAGCTTTGCTTACATATTTTCTTGGAAAAAGTCCTCAGACTTAAAAGCTATTCATTTAACTATGAATTACAGATATACTAGATAGCAGTAATATATACTTACCATTTCAGCATCTTCTTCTAACTTTTGTTTTGCTTCTTGCTCTCTACAAATAAAAATATCATAATTATAACATACTTCCATTTACTATATAAGAAAATTAAGTCCTAATAAAGTTAACTAATCATGATCACTAAACTTACTTAACCAAAGCCAGAAGTCCTTAGGTTTTTTGATCGTCCAATGCTAGACTGCAATGCAATTTGGCCCCGAAATTGTCAAGGCAGCTTAAGATCTCAATGTTTCACTAGCAAAGAGAAAGGTCTACTGCCACTATTTCAGAGCTCACCAACTATATTTCTGTCAGCATTAAGGAATTCAAAGTATGTCATGATTAGTTCAACATACTTACTGTTTAGCTCTTAATTTAGCTTCCACTTTGTTTTGTTTTCTTTCTTCATTTTTTTTGGCAAAGTAATCATCCCTAAAGAACACACAGTACAGAGGCTAAATTCACGAGAACAAAGTTAAGACTGCAGATTATTTTGAATAACTTAAGCCATGGCACAGCAATAAATGTTGCACACATTTACTATCAACATAATCATCAACTAAAAATTCAAAATATGCCAAGGAAGTTACTCTCTCATGTTGTTTGTTTGTTTGTTTGTTTTGAGGCGGAGTCTCGCTCTGTCGCCAGGCTGGAGTGCAGTGGCCGGATCTCAGCTCACTGCAAGCTCCGCCTCCCGGGTTCCCGCCATTCTCCTGCCTCAGCCTCCCGAGTAGCTGGGACTACAGGCGCCCGCCACCTCGCCTGGCTAGTTTTTTGTATTTTTTAGTAGAGACGGGGTTTCACCGTGTTAGCCAAGATGGTCTTCATCTCCTGACCTCGTGATCCGCCCGTCTCGGCCTCCCAAAGTGCTGGGATTACAGGCTTGAGCCACCGCGCCCGACCTCATGTTTTAAATAACAGCTTTACTAAGGAAAAATTCCATGTGCCACAAAATTCACTCTTTTAAAGTGTACCTTGAATTTTTTTTAGTATATTCAGTTGTACAACCATCACTACTAACTTCAGAACATTTTCATGACCCCAAAAGAAACCCCCTATCCATTAGCAATTTCATGTTGATTTTCATTTATCATTCATGAATAGGGAAAAAAAAGTGTATAAGAGGCCGGGCGCGGTGGCTCAAGCCTGTAATTCCAGCACTTTGGGAGGCCGAGACGGGCGGATCACGAGGTCAGGAGATCGAGACTATCCTGGCTAATACGGTGAAACCCCGTCTCTACTAAAAAAATACAAAAAAACTGGCCGGGCGAGGTGGCGGGCGCCTGTAGTCCCAGCTACTCGGGAGGCTGAGGCAGGAGAATGGCGTAAACCCGGGGGGCGGAGCTTGCAGTGAGCTGAGATCCGGCCACTGCACTCCAGCCTGGGTGACAGAGTGAGACTCTGTCTCAAAAAAAAAAAAAAAAAGTTTATAAGAAGTCATGCAAATAATATTGCAGTTTTCTATAGTGTTAATTTCACAAAAGGAGAAAATTCTAAAATCCCCAAGATCCAAGAATAACAGCAATTATGAGAAAACCATGTTAAATAATTTTTGAGGAATTAACACTGATACTATGACTGACACTATGACTGTGATCCATCACAGTGCATCTCTAAGTCAATCAGGTTTAGTATATACCATTTAGAAGACCATAATGCACTAAAATACTAAAAATACTGGCCTTTCAGGGGATGCTATTTCCATGCTCCTTACCCTAGTGTGTCAATTCCATATAACTAAAAGGCCAGGAGAAACATCAGCAAAAAGACTTACTTGAAAAGTATTAGCAGGTCTGTTTCTTTGTACTTCTGGTCAGGGGTCTCTACAAACTTCTTAGCAGATTCAATGCTATCAAACACAACAAAAATTGATCCCTATAAAAAGGAAGGAAAATATTTTTTAAGTTATTTCCCATATATTTTAAAACTAGAAAAAGTCTGTATTATCATACCTTAAATGCTTTATGCAATGTTCTTCTCATCTGAATATTTAGTACTTGACCTTTATCTTCTAACCATTCTTTTATGTCATCAAGAGTTGCATCAGTTGGGAAGCCTTTCTGTTAAGAGTGGGATGTACAAATAACAAATAATGACTTCTCAGATAAACAATTGGAGAGAATTTGATTCATTTTATCTTGAAATGAACACAGGATATACCTATCTATCTCTA